GCTTATTTTTTATTTTTTTAATTTTTTGGGTTTTTTTAGCCAGGATGCATGTGGGATCTTAACTCCCCAACCAGGGATCAAACGCACACCCCCTCCACTGCCTCGGAGGGTGAAGTGTCAGCCATTGGACCACCATGGAAATCCCGGATGTAGGACTCTTTAAAGTGCAGTTTTTCATGCAAACGTTTCCATTTGTATCCCTCTGTTTTTCCTTCTTTCCTGGGTGACCTCAGGCTGCCGCTCCTCTGCCCCAACTTTCACACCATACCCTCAGCCCACCCGAGTGAGGGTAGTCCCTTTATGTGGAGACAGATCTCCTAAGGCAGGCAGATCTCATAAAAGGAAATACAGAGCATCAGTGAAGCTGGGAGGGAAAGTAAGGCTCATCAGAACAGTGTGACCGTGGTGACCCACCACCTGTAAGTCAGCAGTCAGTCAGTCAGTTTAGTTGCTCAGTCGTGTCTGACTCTTTGCGACCCTATGGACTGCAGAATACCAGGCCTCCCTGTCCATCACCAACTCCTGGAGCTTACTCAAACCCATGTCCATTGAGTCGGTGATGCCATCCAACCATCTCATCCTCTGTCATCCTTTTCTCCTCCCACCTTCAATCTTTACCAGCATCAGGGTCTTTTCAAATGGGTCAGTTCTTCACATCAGGTGGCCAAAGTATTAGAGTTTCAGCTTCAGCATCAGTCCTTCCAATGAACATTCAGGATGATTTCCTTTAGGATTAGCTGTTTGGATCTCCTTGCAGTCCAAGGGACTCTCAAGAGTCTTCTCCAACACCACAGTTCAAAAGTAAGTCACCAAGAGTTAGACTAACAGGATTTGAAATTTATTCTAAGAATTTTGGGGGAGCCTGGCATGTGCTTCCGTGGCTTGCAGCAGCTTATATTGTTCTTTGGGGAAAGCCAGTTGCCAGGAGTTATCAAAGCATCACTTCAACCTTGTGTCCCAATTTGGGGAATGTATTTCAAAGACATGTTCCTGGAGGAGAGAAGGTGGTGATGTGCAGGACAAGATTTTTTACAGCCAGACACACTTAGGGGCAAAACTGGAAAGAAAATGGTGCTGGCGGGGGGACACATGGTATTTCTGGGCCACCAGATCTTTCCCAGAGGTCTGAGGGATCACCGTGGAGAAGAGGGGACCACCTTCAGGGCAGCAACAGCAGTCTGAGATGTGACAGTCACATAGAGCATCATGTCTTTCCTGGGATTGGGGAAGTAATGGAAGAGCAGCTCTTCACTAGGAGATTCTCAGACTCCCACTCCCCGCAGTGTGCTTGCCATGGCCCCCATGTGGTGCCTCCTGTTCTGTTCTGATAGGTATCTGTTTCTCATTTTGAGAAACAGGATTCTGTTAGAGATCTCCCTCTGTTTTCCTTTTTACTCAGAGCTGTCTTCTTTTTTTAGCTCCATCGTGCTGGCCTGTGCGTGCTGAGCTCGTGTGAGGGGCAGTCCACCCTCCCCTGACCTCAGGCCGAGCCTTGTTTTCTTCCTTCATCCCTGCTGACACACTTCAGGGAGAAGCCCGGCCAAGTTCTGTCCCCGCGTGGCCTGTGGGAGAATCTCTCTGATACGGATCCGGGCTGGGAGGGGTGGGGGTGAGTCACGGTGCCACTCAAGCTTCATTTCATAAGTACCGCCAGATTGTTTTCCAGAATGACTACCTGTTTGTGCTTCCACCGCTGGTGTGCAGAGGTTTCTGTTTCCCCACGTCCACCCCCCCCCCACACCCCCAGTCCCACTCCCGCCTGCCCCCGGCACCTGGTGTGGTCAGGTATGTCAAAAAGGAGGCATTTGATAGCTCGGGCTCATCAGGGCACTGGGTTCGCTTCTCTGAGCCGCCCTTTTCTGCTGCGGTCAACACCTGGTCATGACAGCATCCAGAGCAGGAACCATGGCAGGCAGGAAGAGGGGGATCTTCTTGGAGCAACTGTCTGTTTTCTGTTAGGGAAAAAAAATTCCCCAGAAATCCCCAGTCTACTTCCCCTTGTCTTATTGGCCATCTGGGGCCACTTTGTCCTCCAAAGCCAGCCTCTGACAGAGATAAGAGGATGGCCCCTTCTGTGGGTGTTGCTGCCTGCCCAGGACTGGAACAGAATGGAGCGTGTCCACCCGAGGATGGAGAAAGCAGCGGACAGTCACCCCACTGCCCATAGAGGCTGCCACGCCAGGGCTCTGACTGTAGCAGTTTTTTGAGATCACTCTGCCTCTTCCATATGAGGGATCTTCCCGCCCCGTCCCCCCAAATCTGTGTAATGAACCATTTGTGGAGAACCTCAGAAGCACACATCTGTTGCCTTGAGGTTAGAAATGTTGGTTCTGGAATCTGATGGTTCTTCCCACCAGGTGAACCTCAGACCTGTCCCCCCACCCCCCGACCCAGGCTGCCCCAACGTAGATCTCCATGTGAGCTCCCCACGGGAGAGGTCAGTGCAGAGATTCAAGGGCACAGTGCCCCTGTTCCTGCCTGTGCCGAGACTCCCAGGCAGAATGCCAGCTGGGAACAGGTGGGAATAGCACACAGGAGGCAGCAGCTCCCCACCCCCACCCCCCGCCGCCATCAACCACGTGCCTGCTATAGTAATCCTGTGTTTTTGCCTAACCAAAGAAATTAACTTCTAATCATTAACTTCTGTAACCTACTCAGCCCTTACTCTGTGCCAGGCAGCCCAGTAAGCGTGTTATTTTTTATGATCTCACAACACTGCCTCTGACAGCCTCGTGAGAGCATTTGTGTGTGATGGTTGAAGCACAGGCTCCTGTCAGACCGCCCATGGAATCCCAGGACTGACGTTTAATAGCTGTGTGAACTTAGGCAGATTACTTAAGCTTTCTGGGCCTCCGCTTTCTCCTGTGTATGCCAAGGACCATAATGGTATGTTACGAGTGCTCAGTGAGTAGAATAACGCTGGCTCAGAGTACTCACATAGTTCACACTTGATAAATACTAGTTGTTGTTGTTGCCATTTTTAAAAAATGAAGAAACCAGAGGCTCAAGAGATCCACTTACCAAACGTCGACAGCTGCAAGTAACAGGGACGCAACCCAAGAGTTCGTGATGCGAGAGCCGGCCTCTCATCCAATCAGCTAGACATCATCAGTAGTAGCCACGTGCCTCAAGGGAACAACACCATCCTTGCTGTCCTTATCAGTAGAATAAATGCTCAGTTGAAGACTCAGTAATACCTTTTATGAAGAAATAATTTCCAGCCACCAACCATAAAGACATAGTGTCACGTGTTTAGCACCAGGAGATGTGTGGATCTTTTCTGAAGGTGGCTGGGACCCTGGGACATGAAAGAAAGCGTGTGCCCGGGGACGGCAAAGGTACAGCATTTAATTCCTGATCTCGCCACTGACCTCACTGGGCCTCAGTCCTCATCTTTAGCTTCAGGTTTCAATTGTTCCTCCCAGTAAGGACTTAGGAAGCACCTTATAAGCTGAGCACGGCCAGTACTGCTTATTCTGCAACTAGGATTTTCCACGTTACCTTACATTTTGTTTCTTATCTCAGTTCACACTTACACATTCACACAAAGTATAAGCACTGCATCCCCCAACTCCACTTGATTCCCTGGAAATCTCTGGAAACCAGGACTTATGCATCTTCTGGGAGAGATCTTACCTTGCCTCACTGAGCTAAGTGGGCTGGAGTCAGGACCCTCTGGCATTTTTAGAGAGGAGGATGTCTCTAGTATCTGTGAGCCTGGGGACAAATAAACAAGGGACACATGGGACGTTCCCTGATTGAATTTCTCCAGATTTCTGAGCATTTTCAGACACAGGTATGCTGGGACCAAGTGCTCAGCCTAAATGAAGGATCACAGGCTAAGTGATGTGACTTTAAGCAAGAAAAAAAAAAAAAGGCTTAGTGGCCTGAATTTTCCTGGGAGGACTTTTAAACTTAACCCTGCATAACAAGTGACTCAGTTATCTTTTTTTTTTTTTAATTGAATGTCCCTCCTCCCTTTCCTTTTTTTTCCTTCTCTCTTCCCTTCCCTCCCTCTCTCCATCCCTTCCTTGGATTACATTCACACCAGTGAAAATTCAGATGGTCCAGAAAGACATGCAGTGAAAGTAAAGTGTCCACTGCAGGTTCCACTTCTCCAGATAACAAGTCTTCCTCCTGGGAGGCAGTCACTCTCAGAAGATTCTCGCCTATCATTCTGGAGATGGTCTGTGCACATACAAGCGCGATCTGAGTGTGTATAGGGCTTCCTTCTTGACTGGATGTGGCTGTGTCTTATAACAGAGGCCCCATGATCTGTGGTTCATTCCGCCCTCTCAAGGCCCTCACTCCCATTTGCTTATTACCAGCTGTTTTCATCTTCCTTTCCATGCTCAAGGTCTATTTCCAGGTGTGTGTGATGACACGGGGACATTTGTGATGACATGGCTCTGGACCCCGGAGTGACCCAGACAGGCTGATGGAGAATGCCTTGGTTTCAGGAGGGCCTGGGATCTGCCCCAATTCCCCCCCTGCAGACAGGAAGCAGGAAGACTGGATGGCAATCCAGGACAGGATCCAGAAACAGTTCCCACCACAGGTGGTCCTCTGGGGAACCCACTCCCCCCCATTAAAGGGCACTTTGTCTTAGGTCATCAAGTGCAGAATCACACACCTGAGAGGTGGCTGAGGCCATTGTTTCTCGAATGTGAGCCATGCATAAACTTCTAGGAGCCCTTGTTAAATGCAGATGCTATGTCACTTAAGCCAAGTGGAGCCGATATTCTGCACCAGTGATGAACTCCCAGGTAATAGTGATGCTGCTGGACCACGGCTGACCCATTCTAAGTAGCAAGGAAACACCGGATGCTCCTTCCCGCCTTTCTCCACACTGCACACTCCCCATCTATGGAGTGCTAGGTCACCTACACACGGATTCTGGCTCCATCACCCATCAGCAGTTTAATGTAAGTTGACAGCAGTCTGTCTTCCTCACCATCCAGTGAGGTGCATGAGCATAATCTTTTTTTTTTTTTTTTTAGTTTTTAGATGAGAAAACTGCTCCTCAGAGATGTTCAACAGCTTGGCAGAGGTCACACAGCTAGTAAGTGACAAAGACAATAGCCTAATAGCCTTTAGTGGTCATACGGTCATTGCTGTGCATGCGTGCTTAGTCGCTCAATCGTGTCTGATTCTTTGTGGCCCCATGGACTGTAGCCCACCAAGCTCAGTCCATGGGATTCTCCAGGCAAGAATACTGGAGTAGGTTGTCATTTCCTTCTCCAGGGGATCTTCCTGACCCAGGGATTGAACCCGGGTCTCCTGCATTGGCAGATGTATTCTTTATCATCTGAACCACTTGGGAAGCCCATGGTCACTGCTGAGCTATCCTCATTTAATGTGGTTTTGACAGAATAGTTGGTCTGGAAAGTTTCTTTCCAATTAAACTTCCTTGTTGAACTGCCTTGGTTTTGAAAGGATTCCATAAGGATAACTAATTATATAGCAGTTGCTACAGGAGATGTTTGCACTCAATTTCAGCTCTTAGGTGATTCAGATCAAACGCTTTCTCCTTTCCTCCCTGGAGCTATGTGCAACCATCTTCCTCTCACACAGCAGGCTTCTCATGAGTTATTTTTGGAGGTTCAAATCAAAACAGCAATTCTGGCAAGTGGGAGAGCGAAGCAATGCTTTAGTCGAGCAGAATAGACCATATGTACTGATAAAGACAGCCAAAGACTCAGTGCCTTTAAAAGGCTTCCGAGCCATCTTCCTCTGTGAAGGTTAAGTTTGGGGGTAACTGCAAACTGTCCTTGGTGCTGTCATATTCCTTTGTGAATTCAGTTGAGGGACTTCCCCAGTGACCCAGTGATTAAGACTCTGCCTTCCAGTGCAAAGGATGAATTCCATCCCTGGTTAGGCACTCAGATCCCGCATCCCATGGGGTGTGGCCAAGAAGTGAAAAAGACATCTGAGATTCCTTTACAGTTACCAAAACTTTGTCCATTTGCAACTTGTTGTCCTGATTGTTTAGCTCTAAGATGGTGGGTCTTGGCAAAATTTGCTTGAGGACTTTGCTTCAGCTGCTGGATCTGCCTTGAAACATGGAAATCACTTTATTTCCCCACTCTGCTCTGTTTCCTTCTTTCACCAGAGCACATAGAGCATCCCTGAATATGTACACCAAGCAGGCAGACCTCCCCCTTCACCCGTTACAGTGTAAGCGCCTCGTGGGCAGGGAAGTGTTTTTCATTTTGTTCTGTTCCTGGCACAGAGTTGCCGTTCAGAGAATTGAGTGAACAGACGACGTGCTGATTCGCTTCAGTCATGTCCGACTCTTTTTGACCCTATGGACTGTAGACTGCCAGGCTCCTCTGTCTATAGCATTCTCCAGGCAAGACTACTGGAGTGGGTTGCCATGCCCTCCTCCAGGGGATCTTCCCGACCCAGGGATGGAACCCAGGTCTCCTGCAGCTTCTACATTGGCAGGCAGATTCTTTACTGCTGAGCCACTGGGGAAGCCCGAACAGATGGTAGATGAATGAATGCTATTCTAGTTCCATTTTCTTCTCTCTTTCTTTTTTTTTGTTTCAAATCAATCACTTATTACATAAATAGTAACTGAATGTTTTTTAGCTTGGGACAAAAAGGCTGTCCAGATAAGGCTAATGTTTTTTCTTGGTCACAGCCCTAATTCTTGTTTCTGCCTCCTCTCTGCTTAGGTTGTCAGTTTGGAACACATCCTTGCAAAGCTTTCCAGTGCATTTACACACGCATGCACACACAGGTACGCACACACACATGCACGCACACGAGTACTGTTTTTGATAAGCAGATTTTTTTTTCAGCTTGCTTTCTCCTACTCAGCCATGTATCAAGGAGTGCTGTCCATGTCAACTACCTTATTCTTGGCACTTGCTCCATAGTTTTATTACATTTGTGTGGATATAATACCTTTTATTTGGACCAAGAGAATATGCTCATTACCTGCTTTCATGCTCGTTGCTGTTCAGGGTCCCTTCTCCCATACACATTGACAGACTAACCATGTTCACTCCTGTCTCTTGGTAGCTACAACACATTTCAAGAGAATCAGCCACCTGCCTCTGAGATTGTGCCAGACCTGTGGACAGAACCACGTGAGATGCTAAGGATTGCCAGAGGAAACTGAATGTCTGTGTCCGTAGAAGCTTGGGAAGTGCATTTGGCCCTCAGAATTCCACAGGACTGGATAGGAGGTGATGTTAGAGCCAGTGTCGCCTCTGCCCTGAGCTGCTTGAGTTCCCTTGGGCAGGTCATTTCCTCTCACTGTACCTTACTTTTCTCATCTGTATAGTGGGCTCAGTGAGTGTCTTTCAGCTCTTAGAGTCTGAATAACAGGGTTTAGATAGTGCCACCAGATGGACATAAAGAATATATTAGCTTACATGCTGTTTTGTGTCAGAGTGGGAAAGGGGATATTTAAAACTATATTTAAATGCTAGTTTTAATTAACTAGATTTTATTATATTTTAATTTAAAGATAGTATAAAATTTTAAAATAGAGATCTGTTCCAGAGCCCTTAAATGTCACAAACAGTCTGTGATTGTCCAAGAATGTATCGCCTTTGGGTCTTACTCTTCTTTCTTGTTACTTTATTATCCAATTAAAGTGTATATGTTTGTTTCCTTTGCTTTGTGTGGTCTTTTCATTCTAAACAAACCAGGGTGGCGTTGGGCAAGGGGACTATGGACCCCAGAGTTCCACCTCCAGGTTTGTCTAAGTTACAGCTGTGTGTCCTTGGACAAGTCCCTCACCTCCTCTGAGTTTCCATCTGTTGATAGTATGAGTCCAAGTTAGCCAGGTATCCACTTGACAAAAAGCTGAAAACCACACCGACCTGAGAATGTTTGACCTGACATTTCTGAGCCCTATCACCTGCAGATAGGTCATCTCGCGAACTGATGAGACATCCTAAGAGACCACCAAAACTCATGCAGTGGTCTCACTTCACATGGGAATCATGCAACTGCCCTGGCCCCTGGTGACGCACCATCTTTCAGTGGGTTCCCAGGGGGGCCCCAAGAAGGTTCTGAGCTGCCATGATTCATTGGTAGAATTTCCCCCTGAAACCCAAGGCTAGCTTGAGAGTGTGTGTTCCCCTACTTGGAGATGCCACAGTGGTCACAGGGGCTGAATCACCCTCGGGCATGCTTCCCTGGGGGTCTCAGTAAGGTTTCTCACGTGGGGCCAGAGGTCTGGCCTCTTGTGTTGGCATTACACATCGGTCTGGAGAGAACAGGGCTTCTGCAGGTGAAAGGTCAGGTGAATGGGTGTGAAAGCTGCGTGGGAGCTGAGCCCACAAGGTCTCGGGAGGGTTGGTTTTCCTGTTCCCAGCATGCTTTTGCACCCCTTCTGTGAGCTTCTGTTTATGAACACCCCTCGGGCTAAGTGCTCCCTGATTGAGCAGGTCTCTGTGGGAGAGAGGCCAGTCTGATGCTCTTCTGAGAGCCCCTGGGGTCGGCGACTTCACCTGTACACCTCTGCTTCCTGCCCTGCTGGGTTTTCTCTGAGAAGACCTCACTCAGGTGCTCAACCCTCGTTACCTTCCTTCCCTTTTCCCTTTCTTAAACGGAAGAGTGTGGACTTTATAGGCTCTGAATTTGTCACCGAGCTTCCAAAAGCCTACCATAAACATTTTCCACATGAACCAAAATAAAAGGAAGAGCACAATGAATGGAAAGAACATCATTAACATGGTACAGATCTTAAATCAGTTAAAAAAAAAATAATGGATCATTTCCATTTACCATAGCACACTGCAAATTTTTCAACAGCTGCCCACCACGCTGTTCTCCCGAACTGCCTCCATGCCCTGCCACTCTGTTTGGATGAAATAGGAGTGAATCTACTTTACATCATTGCAGAGAAATGCAGAGCAAGTTATAGTGTCTCTCCTTAATTTGACTCTCCTTTAACCTATCGATAGTGTTGTAAATTCCCAACCTGGAAACTTGAGGACATGAGTCAGTCTGACATATGATTCACATATCCTCGATCTGAAATGCTAGATGTTGTGTGGGGCCAGGGTGGGAAGTAGAACCAGAAATGAATTTCCTGACCCCCAAATTCAGCTTCAGTGAAGTTGCATGGGGGTGTGGTGGGGAGCAGTTATCATCTTGTGGTTTGTGGGGTTTCTTCCTGCCTTCCAGGATCTGCAATGCATTGGACGGTGGGGGAAACTCAAGGTGACCACATGCCCAGGGCTGCTAGAAGAGTTCCAGTTTATGCCTCCTAGTCCAACCGTTTTTTGCTCAGATAACCTGTCTTTCTACACACCAGAATATAGGATTCTGGGGAGACTAGATAAGGAATTCTGAAAGTCAGAGGTTTCATTTTATTCATAAGTACATCCCCAGTAAATAAAGGCTTGCTGAGTTGGGTGAGTGAGTAAATTCTTCACCGCCTCTCTTGGTCTCTGAATTTCTGTTTCTCATCTATCTTTGTATGCCTAGGGTAACTACTGATTCTTGTTCTCAATAGTATCTTTTGACTAAGCCTGAGCTTCAGATGGTAATTGATTTGGTTCCATGTACATAACTTGCCCACGCAGCTCTGTGACTTGCAGTGAGTTATCCAGATGAGTTACAGCATATCAGAGTGCCAAGAACAATGGCTTGTGGAGGCAGTAAGCTCCTAGGAAATGGCAGGAAGGCGGAGATGGTGCTATTGTTATTAGGTGACTGGCATTGCCACCTGTTTCTGTCTTATCTTTTCCTAGTGAGAAGATTCATAGACCTTTTTTTTTAAAAGAAAGTAATATCAAAATCTCATTAAAAATTGGGCAAAGACTAAAAAAGCTAACTGTACCATCATGATCTTTGGTAGCACAGTAGCAATTATCATTATCAATGTACTATAAGCCGTCAGTGGTGTTTTATGCCGTTTTTCCATAGTGGTTATCTTTAGGAGCATTCCATTTGTTGTTGTTGTTGTTGTTTCCATTTGCCTTTTTCTGCAAGCATTGTTCATGTTATTTCACAATCTTTTCTGCTACAACTTTCTAATTTGCTTTTGTCCACATGGTTATTGGTAACTATAGATTGCTTCCATTTTCCTTTCTGTGAATGAAATTTTCCTTCTGCTATGCCCTACATTTCAAGAGATTCTCAGAAGTAAAATCACTGAATTAAAAGATACAAATGTTGTCAAAATCTATCTATATCTATATTTTAAAAAATAGACTGTTAGAGAAATTTTAGGTTTACAAGAAGCTACAGAGAGCTCCCATTTACTCAGTTCAGTTCAGTTCAGTTGCTCAGTCATGTCTGACTCTTTGCAACCCCATGAATCGCAGCACGCCAGGCCACCCTGTCCATCACCAACTCCCGGAGTTTACTCAAACTCATGTCCATCAAGTCGGTGATGCCATCCAGCCATCTCATCCTCTGCCGTCCCCTTCTCCTCCTGCCCCCCAATCCCTCCCAGCATCAGGGTCTTTTCCAATGAGTCAACTCTTCACATCAGGTGGCCAAATTATTGGAGTTTCAGCTTCAGCATCAGTCCTTCCAATGAACACCCAGGACTGATCTCCTTTAAGATGGACTGGTTGGATTTCCTTGCAATCCAAGGGACTCTCAAAAGTCTTCTCCAATACCACAGTTCAAAAGCATCAATTTTTCAGCGCTCAGCTTTCTTCACAGTCCAACTCTCACATCCATACATGACCACTGGAAAAACCATAGCCTTGACTAGACGGACCTTTGTTGGCAAAGTAATGTCTCTGCTTTTTAATATACTATCTAGGTTGGTCATAACTTTCCTTCCAAGGAGTAAGTGTCTCTTAATTTCATGGCTGCAGTCACCATCTGCAGTGATTTTGGAGCCCCCAAAAATAAAGTCTGACACTGCTTCCACTGTTTCCCCATCTATTTCCCATGAAGTGATGGGACCAGATGCTAGTCCCCCGCAATTCTGCATATTTTTAACATTTTGTATTAGTGTGGCATATTTGTTGTAATTTATGTACCAATATTGATATATTATGATGGACTAAAGACTGTGGTTTACATATAGGGTTCACTCTTTGTATTGCATAGTTCTGGGTTTTTGACAAATGCATAATTTTATGTATCCACAATTACAGTTTCACATAGAATATTTTCACTGCTCTAAAAATGCTCTATACTTCACCTATTAATCTCTCTCCCCATCCTCCCAAACTCATGACTACCACTGATCTTTTGCTTTCTTCATTAGTTTTGCTTTATCCAGAACATCACGTAGTTAGAATTAAACAGCATGCAGCCTCTTTTGTTTGACTTCTTTCACTTAGTAATATGTGTTTAAGACTCCTTCGTGTCTTTTCGTGGCTTGATAGCTCATTTCTTTTTAGTGCTGAATAATTCCTATTGTCTGGCTGTAGTGTAGTTTAATTATCAGTTCACCTACTGAAGGACATCTTTGTTGTTTCCAAGTTTGGCAATTTTAAATAAAGCTTCTATAAACATTTGTGTGCAAGTTTTTGAGTGGACATAAAATTTTAACCCATTTGGGTAAATCTCATGAAGCAAGACTGCTGGATCACATGGTAAGACTGCTTTTGCTTTGTAAGCAATTATCAAAGCTTTATATTTTGAACATTTATTAAGCAATTTTAGTTATAATACCACTAACATGGTTAATCATCAAAATAACCTCTGGGTTGGAAGTTATTAATTTCACCTTCTGATTAATGTTTTCAGGATTTATTGCTGAAAAGATCTTTAAACCTCTTAGCTTCCTGAGAGCAAAATCTCCTTTGGTGTCACCTCCAAGGCCTTCATGGCATAGTGCATGCAATAGGTGTTCGATTAATGTTCATTACACACCGAAACACCACCTCACTGCACAAATAAAAATATAGAGATCAAAAAAGGAAAGCAAAGTGCTTCTGGCCAAACATCATTTTACTCACGGCAGAAACAATGCTAGGAGATAACTCACACTTTGTCAATTTTTGGACCAACATTTTGAGCAATGACCAGACTCTCGATCACTGTGCATGCTAAGTCACTTCAGTCATGTCTAACTGCCCACCAGGCTCCTCTGTCCGTGGGATTCTCCACACAAGAATACTGCAGTGGGTTGCCATGCCCTCCTCCAGGGGATCTTCTTGACCTAGGTATGGAGCACACATCTCTAATGTCTCCAGCATTGGCAGGCAGGTTCTTTACCACTAGCACCACCTGGGAAGCCCCTCTGGATCACTAAATTCAAGCAAATCAAGCTTCAGGACTCGGGAATGCATACTTACTGTTGTAACATCACCCTCTCCTCACTTTCAATCCCACCCACTACCATGTCTCCCAGAGAGGCCAGAAGTGGTGTGTTTAAGTGGATAGAGTACATTGTGGCTACAAAGTCTCATAGCAAGCAAAGGTAACAACAACAACAATAATAGTGACAACAATAAAAAAAGTCAAGAATTATTGGTTGCTTAAGTGTTGTCAGGCTCTCTACATGTATTATTTCATTTCAACATCTCTGGTTAGGCACAATTAAATTAGTGATAATTTATTGTAAGGCTGTAGTCCATGGGGTTGCAAAGAGTCGGATATGACTGAGAGACTGAACTGAACTGAACTATTGAAATGTGATTAATAAAACACTACAGTGGGTTGCCATGCCCTCCTCCAGGGGATCTTC